GAGAGAGAGAGAGAGAGAGAGAGAGAGAGAGAGAGAGAGAGAGGGGGGGAGAGAGAAAGAGAGAGATGCACGCATGCACAGAACTCCATGTGTGTGAGCAAAAGAGCTTCGCTTGTGCATGTGCTTGGCCAATCTCTCCCGTGGCCCAGTTTTGAACAGACCGCAGACCAGTAGTGGGCCATACCCCTGCTGTAGGAGGAGAGCCAAACACGACAAGGAGGCAAGTATATGGCATGTACTGTATGAGATGCCAGGAGAAAACACAAGTACCCTCAGTCTAGCAGCACAAATGCTCTTCCATTCCACCCAGTATAAGAGGAGTCCTAACTGCAGTGGCTAAGACGCTGAGTTTGTCGATCTCAAAGGTCGGCAGTTCAGTGATTCGAATCCCTAGTGCCACCTAACAGAATGAGCTCCTGTTACTGTCCCAGCTTCTGCCCACCTAGCAGTTCGAAAGCATGTAAAAATGCAAGTAGAAAAATAGGGACCACCTTTGGTGGGAAAGTAACAGCATTCCGTGCATCTTTGGCATTTAGTCATACCGGTTAAATGATCACAGAACTGTCATCAGACAGCACTAGCTTTTCAGTTTAGAAACAGAGATGAGCACCGTCCCCTCGGGAACGATTAGCATGTATGCGCTAGGGGAACCTTTACCTTTACCTTAAAGATAGAAAGCCCAACGTGTAGCTGGGAACAGGCACTTGGATGCAATCCCCTGAGATTTCTATCAATGTGGTTCATCAATTAAGACTAATATCTAGTTCATCTACTTTAACTAATCAATGTCTAGAAGTAGCCTGCGATGAGAATATATATTAGATGAAACTACAGAAGAAGTAGCTGCTCAGGAGAGGGCAATGAAAAGTTAGCCCTGACTAAGATGGGCATTGCACCAATTTTTTTTTAATGATAGTCCAAAGATCTATTGTAAAGCATGAAATTGGAATTTGCTCCTTAAGGTCAGGAACACAGAGGGAACACATGCAGCAGGAGGAGAAATTCTGCACAAAAGTTAGCACTTTTGTGCTGACTAGAAGGTGCCGACAGCCAGGCAATGACAAGCAAATGGAAACTTTCCTCCACATAGACCACACTTAAGTGGGCCAAATGTCTGAGAAGAGGAAAGCATGAGTGAGATTATAGAACTGGTTTGATCTGGAAACGCTCTGGAGGCTGGATATGGAAACTTCAAAGCCCTCAAAGCACCTGTTCTAAAGCAAATTGCCTTTTGAGGAGCCTGACCAATTTATGCCACCTCTATTCTTTTCTATGGGTTGACCTTGATAAGTGTCCCAAGGATATAACAGAGCACGGTTAATGTTCTGCAACAGATACCACTGTTGTTCACTCAGTCTTCTGCATCCTTTTGCTCTCCATCTGAATTTCTGGCAAGCATGGCCAAAAAAAAACCCAGCAACAGGCAGCTTTAAGAACAACCATAGAATGCCATGTAGAAAGAATAGGAGTGCAGAATGTTTTGGCCAGGTCTAGAAACCATCATGCTCTGAAATTCACCTCCTCTGCTAAAGATTCCTGTTATTAATTGAGACATTTGTTAAGTGAGTTTTGCCCCATTTCACGACATTTCCTGCCAGTTGTTAAGCGAATCAGCACAGTTGGTAAATTAGTCACATGGTTGTTAAGTGAATCTGGCTTCCCCATTGACTTTGCTTGTCAGAAGGTCGCAAAAGGTGGATCACGTGGCCTCAGAACACAGCAACCATCATAATTATGAGTCAGTTTCCAAGCATCTGAATTTTGATCCTAGGACCATGGAGATGCCGCAAAGGTTGTAACGATGAAAAATGGTCATAAGACACATTTCTTAGTGCCACTGTAACTGTGAACAGCCACTAAGTGTTATAAGTCCAGGACTACCTGTATTTTAAGGGGAAATGCTTCAGGTGCAATTCTGGTATATCAGCTAAGAACTGAGGCTTGTATTCAAAGACAGGAAGATGACTCTCACAATCAAGCAATAAAATTTCCAAGCTAAAAAAAAATAAATGAGGATTCCTAAAAAAAAAAAAAGGGAAATCCCCGATTTACGACAGTTCATTTAGTGACTGTTTGAAATTACAAAGGTACTGAAAAAAGGAATTGACCATTTTTTCTCCTTATAACTGTTGCAGCATTGCCGTGGTTATGTGATCAAAATTCAAACGCTTGGCAACTGGCTCAAATTTATGACAATTGCAGTGTTATGTGATCCCCTTTTGCGACTTGCTGACAAGTGAAGTCCATGAGGAAGCCAGATTTACTTAACAACTATGTTACTAACTTAACAACTGCACTGATTCACTTAATAACTGTGGCAGGAAAGGTTGTAAAAAGGGGGAAAACTCACTTTATAAACGTCTCACTTAGCAACAGAAATTCTGGGCTTAGTTGTGGTCATTAGGTTGCGGGCATTAAAACTACAGCTAGTACCAGGATCTGTTGCTTTGTGAAGAAATATTTTTGTACATTAATTACATCAGAAAAGGTGAAAGTTCTTTCAGAAGCCTTCAGTCAATGACCTAGTAGAGGAAGTCTTGGTCAAGGAGCCTTTAGTGAGGAATTTGAAAGTGCCTTCAAGTTATCGCAACATCAAAGTCAAGCACTAAGGCAAAGAAATGTGTTCATGGCCTGTTTAACATTTTTGTAGCTTTTCTACTTCCCACAATGCTTTAATAGTGATGAAGTTGGGCAATACTTTCTTGCTTCAACCACCTGAAAGTTGCTGGACTAGATCTAGAAGAAAAGCTTATATAGCCAATAAGAGAGAGTGCAAAGAAGAGCAACAAAGATGATTAGGGGACTGGAGGCTAAAACATATGAAGAACGGTTGCAGGAACTGGGCATGTCTAGTTTAATTAAAAGAAGGGCCAGGGAAGACATGAGAGCAGTGTTCCAATATCTCAGGGGTTGCCACAAAGAAGAGGGAGTCAAACTATTCTCCAGGGCACCTGAGGGCAGGACAAGAAGCAGTGGGTGGAAACTAATCAAGGAGAGAAGCAACTTAGAACTAAGGAGAAATTTCCTGACAGAGAACAATTAACCAGTAGAACAACTTGCCTCCAGAAGTTGTGAAAGCTCCCACACTGGAAGTTTTTAAGAAGATGCTGGATATCCATTTGTCTGAAGTGGTGTAGGATTTCCTGCCTGAGCAGGGGGTTGGACTAGAAGACCTCCAAGGTCCCTTCCAACTCTCTAATTCTATTCTATTCCATTCCATTCTAAGAGGCAGCCCCAGCATCGCACCACAGGGGGAAAGGAGGGGGGGGTGTCTGCCTCTCGCACAGTCAATTGGGGATTTCTGTACATTTCTCGGCAGCAAAGAGATAAATGGAATCAGGCAACGCAAGTGAGCAAAATATAAACTGATAGCAAACAGCCTTCCTTACTAGCACTGATGACGTTACCCAGTTAGGGTAATGAAACGTCTGCAAGAAAACAAGCAAGCTCAGGGAGCACCAAGGAGCTCTCATTTCAACCCCCAGCTACAAATATTCGACTTTATTGGCAGGCAGCGCTTCCTTAGGACTAAAGGGCGCCGAAATGGCAGCTGGGCAACCATTGCAGCTATGGTAACAGAGATCCGCCTCCGGCCACACCACGCATTTGCCCCAGGTAGCGGCCCCAACAGGGCTTCCCGGCGGGCCCTGAACTGATCAAGGAAGTAGCTGCAGGAAAGACTTCAGTGCAGCCTGCTGTGCATCGGCTGCAGGACGAGCAAGCGACTGAGTAAGAAAGCCTCCTCCTTCCCTGCTGCTTCCCTCCCTTGCCCGGACGCACCTTGAGTAAATCCAGCGGGTGCGTGCAGCATGCCGCCCCGCAAGAGGCCAGGCCCCCGAAGTACCAGCGGGACACGCGTTTCTCTACCATCCTGCCGGCGAGACTTCTGCCTTCGGCGATCCTTCCCCTCCCTCCGTCTTTCGGATCCGGCAAGCCCCGCCTCCGCCCCGCACGCCCGACCGAGGCGGTCTTAAACGGGCAACGCCGAGAGCGACGGAGGAGGAGGAGGGAGAGCTTAAAAGAGCAACCGGGGAGGCCGAAGGTGCGCAGCTTGTAGGAGGGGCCAGGTGTTTCCCGGGCTTCTTTCGCGAGAGGGACTCGAACTTGCGGGATGATTGGCATTAAAGACTAAAGCGGCTCCGAAGACCTTTTCACACCAAGCCGCAGAACTCTTTTTCCTACGCACATTTGTAAGAGGCCGCCTAAAGACTATTTTATGACGTTGTGAGATAGATTAAGAAAGTGTCGAGTCTTAACAACCGCATTGATTTTTTTTTCTTCTTCAAATAGTCTTAAAAGAAAAACTGTGGTTACTCCATCACTGGAGATTTTCAAGAAGAGACTGGACAACCGTTTCTCTGGAATGATAGGGTCTCCTGCTTGAGCAGGGGGTTGGACTAGAAGACCTCTAAGGTCCCTTCCAACTCTGTCATTCTGTAATTGTTATTCTGAAAGGCTCAGTCCACACCGGTTCATCTGTGGTTGTAAACCTCCCACTTGGGTGAGATGGGTTGGGTGGAAATTAAATAAATAAATGCTTTTCCTGGGGTTGGCACAAAGTCTTTCACACAATTCCATGTGTTTTCATATGGCCGACTTCGTACAAGGAGGCACAATTGAGATCATGGAATAGGCCCATGGAATTACTGCTATCTGAAATTAACATTTAGGTTCACTGTGCAGCTTTACAATGCAAGCTAACAGGCGAGGCCTTTGGGACAAGATAGTGATCAACAAATAACATTGGCATTTGCAAATGCCCAATAAATTTATAAAACCTGTTTCCCAACTCTTAAAAACACTGTTCATTTTGCTTCACCCAATCAGGAAAAAAATCAGTCTTGTTGCTGATTTGGGGTTAATCAGGATCTTCTTTAAATTATAGCATACTTCCTAGACTGCTTGTTCTTGCCTTTACTACATTGGCTGGTAATATATAGGCATGATAGCTTCCCCATTTCATTCTTTTTTTCCTTCCTGTTGAAGATCTTTCATTTGTTTAGGAGTAATCCTAAAATGTTTATGCCACAGTAAATGTATTTATGGTATCATAAAATCTGTAAATGTTTTGGAGCAAGTCTTGCAGGTCTACCTGGGAAAGTTTGGTAGGAAATTAAAAATTCAGCTTTAGTTTTCATTGCATTGCTGTTTCACCAAACTATTGAACTTAAAAGCCTCTTCCTGCAATTCCATCTTTCTTGTGTATACAAGCTGCCCTCTTGCAAAGCTGGCTCCCTTTAGATAGTTACATAGTTGTACTCCATACATCAGTCTTCTTTTAACAGATGTTCTACAGATCTACTGGTTATAGCTTTTCTAACTCCTACTGCATTGCCTTTGGCATAGCAATCTGAACATTGTATATCCTGCAGCAAAGTCTTCTTCAAGGCTCCTAAGAGGGCATTCATTTTGCATGATTTACTGAATAAAGATGTGCAAAACTTCCATAGTTGTACTGTTTTATATCTGAAACAATTATTTTGAAATAGGCGTAATCATTTCAGAACTGTTTCAAGTCCAAAATGCTTCAGCCTGTTTCAGACTTGAAGCAATACACATTAGAAACATTTTGTACACAATTGCTCGATTCCCCCCCCCAGTAGCAGAGTGTTAATTCTTCAATTTAACCAGGGATGCCATTTATAATTTTACCTTCTATGTAAAAAAAAAAAACAACCTTGCCTCTTTCTCAATTAATAGAATAAGAGATGGAAGGGATCTTGGAAGTCTTCTAATCCAACTCACTTCTCAAGGAGGGGATCCCGTACTATATCAGACAAATGGTTGTCCAATCTCTTCTTAAAAACCTTTAGCGATGGACCACCCATAATTTCTGAAGGCATGCCATTCCAAATTGCTTTAGCAGCACCCACAAATGCATTAAGAGAAATGGGATAGTTTTATATGTTCTGAGTAATCTTACTGCCTTATCACAGACAACAGAAAAAAACCCCAATATTTAAGATGAAACATTCCATTCATACTCTTTATCATCTCCATCATTCCAGTCTTGAATGATGTATTTGCTGTTTTCCAATGTTTGTTGCAGATCCTAACTAGCAATATCTGTGATAGAATAATTGCTAAAAGTGTGCTCCTTTGCGGAAATTCATTCATGTCTTCATGGTTGCATCTGTAAAAAGGCAATGTTATTTACAGGGCTTCAGCAATCTTGAAAATATTTGAGGTGTGTAAGCACAGAAGATACATTTGTGTACGTAAATTTTGGAGGTAGTATAATATTTGGCATTGTTTATTGCATTAATATAGTAGAAAATGCCCAATAAATTTATTGGTCAGTAAAACCTGTTTCCCAACTCTTAAAAATTAGCCACTTCCAAGCTATCTTTGAGAAAAGCATGAAAAATGACAGTAAGAGAAAGATGTTTCAAATTGTTCCTGTCTTTAAAGCCTCACTTAATTTGCATACTTTAAATCTCCTCTATGAATTCTCAAGTGCTGGAAAAAATATAGTTAAAATTGCAAAAGCAGCATTCTAACTATCAGCAGTGTGCCTTAAAAGCTGCCTTTAGGCCATCTCTTGCCTGCCAAGGGTTCACTTTAGCTTTAAATGAAAGTGCAACAACATGGACATTGGACTAAAACCACATCTTGTTCCATTGAGTGAAATATCTAAAACAAATTAAGAATATTCCTTTTCACCTGAACAATGGCTTATATTAAACCTTCAAACAGGAGCCAAGATTCAGCAAACTACCATATTGCAAGACCCAGCAAGTACCAAGGAAAAGATAGTTGTAGGCTGTGCTGATATAAATCATACCAAAGGGGACTAAGGGCAGGGGAGAGGAAAAGGGCCACCCACAGAAGAGAATAGACCTCAATCAGGGAGCTACGTTGGAGGTCTAGCCATCTACAAAGGAACTTGGCAGGATGTATTGTCCCTACCTAAATTTAACCTGCTCAGATTTGGAAAATATATACATATATATTTGTCTACTAAATCTAGTAAGCCACAAAAGGGAAAGCTAAAATTTCCAAGCTGCTGTCCTCCTTTATTAAAAGAGTATCAATTTCACTTACACCTCCTATTGGAAATATGATCTTAGAGTATGACACAAAATCTACAAAGATCCCACCCACCTCCTCCCACAAATGATTAAATCTGCCAGTAAGGGACACCGGTCCAAACACCTATGCAAACTTGAGAAACCTGCTGGATTGGGGGGGGGGGGGGAATCCAATAACATGTAAGAAAGGATTATCACACATGTTTTACAGGTGTTATCCATCACATATATTCGTTATGAATACAGGTTTTTAACCATGTAGCAGACTGCAAGGTGTGCCAAATAACTTGATACACACTGAGCTATGCCCAAGGGAAACTGCAGAGCAGAAAAAAATGGGGCAGAGCAACTTTCCTGGAACCGCACAGTACTCCACCACCAGTCAGCAGGAGTGGCTAACACAAGTCACAGGGTCCTTCCCCGGCTCTGCTTTAAGTCCTTTGACAGGTAGGCAGATTCTTTAATCCACAACTACAGTGCCTCCAACTGCCTCTAGAGCCGATTTAACCTTTTCTGCTTCTTCTTTACGAACATTTACTTTGATATCTTGAGGAAGAGATTCTACCAACTTCTTGGCCTGCAAGACAGACAGACTTTAATCAGAAAATGAAAAGGTTATCATAACATTCAAGAGAAACCTCAGCTAATGCTAGTCTTGGTCTCTATATACTTTCTACTTACCTCTTGAATTTGAGGAGACAACGCCCCAAAATCTTTCCAAAGAAGCATTTCCTACATTATGGTTCCAGGGTTTACTAAACAGAATTCAAAGATTTGAGGAAATTGTCTTTGGAGCTTTACCAGCTTCATTTGCATGGAGGAAAGGTGGAGATGCATGCAAGTTCAAAAAGGAAAGAAGGGGAAAGTGATGTATATATCACACCCAAGGGATGTGGGTTCGCACTGCTCTGACCTTTCTGCCAACCTGCCTTTTTTTAGCCCTGCTTTCTCAATAGATGCCACTGAGTTGCATGATTCATGACAGACCGTGTCACACTAATTGCCACTATATCTGAGGATCCTAACTTTACTTTTATTCATTCCACATCGTCTTTTTTTTAAACTCTCCATTAAATCATACCCTTTCTGCTCCCAATTGGCAACATCAAAAAATTACAACAGGAGTTCTATGGAAATCAAGTTTAGAAATGAACTAAGGCAGTTGGGAAGCAACATATTTTAGAATATCCCTCTTATGGACCATATTATACTAACTCTGTTTCTTGGGATTAGTTTCTTATTCATTCTCAGACACAGTGTAAGATGTTGATTTATTTCTATAAAGCTTCATATCTTTTGGGACCACAGTATCTGAAGGAAAGTATCTACCTGCAAGACCTTGCTAAGAAATCAACTGTAATCACTACAGTTTTCACTAGTTGATGTCATCAAGGGAATCAGCAGCACAACGTATGACACTTTTAGTATCAGCACTTATCTGTGGAACCTGCTTCCAAGATGTATAACCCAGTCCTTCGTTGATGTTTTTTAAGCAGGCAATAAGCATATTTCCATCCAATGTTAATTTTGCTGATCACCATTTTGTTTATTTTCCTAACTGTTTTAATGAAATTGTATTATTAGTGCAAACCACTTTAAGGCCCCTTAGGCTTAAAGCAGAATATATATTTCTATTAAATGAACAGTTACTATAGAGGGAACTGTCAGTCACATAATTCTAAGCATTCTTAGCCCCTGCAAGCATTTCAAGTAAAGAGATATTCCCCCTCAACAGTATAATCTGAACAAGTATAGGAAAGAATCAGTTTACCTGGACAAGGTTTATGTTCTCCACATGGTTCTTTAGTTCCTTGATAACTTTCACCTTGTCTTCAGCTTTAAACCCAGTCAAGCGCACTGTAAAATTGACCTTTTCTACTTTTTCAACCATTTCTTCTTCTTCTGCCTAGTAGATGAAGAGGAAAAAGAAACAAATTGACAATTAGTAGGTAATGCCTGCCCCTTTGCCTCCAAGGAGACAGCAGTAAAGGAAGGATCCAACTATTTAGGCACCTCATTTGATTAATTTAGATGGGGGAGGGCCCCCAAATCTAGCTCTGAATTATAACAGTGTTGTTATTATAAACTGACATATATATATATGATATATATATATATATTTAACTTTGGATGTATTGACAACACTAATATTGTTTATTCTTCTGTGACTTATTTTAATCAATTGCTCTCTCATAGCATATCAAGCACATTCCTCTGAATTTCTAAGTGGGAACGGATATTATAAACAAGTAATGCAAATCTTTATTATTTCTGTTCCTCGTCATTCCTCCAGAACTTTAATATACACATTTCACTGATAAACCTAATAAAACATATTTGCCCATCTACATTAATAAATAAATCTCACACTGGTTTTTTTTTGCCTGATCAGTGATTTTACACTGTGCAACCAAGTTGCCTAAATTTAATCATAAATGACAACTCACAAGGGGATTAATCACAAGAAGAGCTAAAATATGAATTCTCTGTTTTTTTCCAAACAGAGTAAACTCATTAATTTCCCTTTGGGAGTCGGATCACGGAATAAAGGAGCTAGAATATGAAACCTCCATCCTTGAAAAAGCTTGTTTCCTTAATTTCTTAACCTAGACATTCCAGACATATATTTTCCTTTTTAAGAAGTTGATGACCTGCATGCTAATTTTTCTGGAAAAATCCCCTTACTTTAAGGACTATCTTTTTCTTTCTACTCTATGGAGCTGGTTAAAATATTTCCCAAAATTGCTAATGAATTATTTCATTCAGGAGCTAGTGTGTGCTCCTTCTTATAGTCTGCTGCAAACTTTAAAGTCCATAGTTTTATCCAGGTTAATATTCATGGGTAGATTAATATTTGTCAAATTTTGTCTGCATCTTCATGTCTTGAAATTTTTATCACCATCCCACACCAGTAAAAGTATTTGATTATCAAAATGTGAAAGAAAAAAATAAAAGGAAAAGAAGTGCTGCGGGTGCCTTTTTGTTTGGTAAACGGAGAGAAGATCAGACATCAACCTTGAGGAGGGTGGTATGAGGCAGCAGGGAAAATAGAGTAACCTCTAAAAGGCATCTATCTACAATTACTACAAATATCTCACTGTATCTGGCAGATTTCCAGAACTGCTATAAGGAAATTGTTTTGGGAACTCCTTTGGAATAAAATTAAGCAACCACTTGGAAAAGTTAAGTTTGAGATGAATTTCTTAAACCTCTAGAACTATTTTCACTTGAGTCATTCAAATCTATACAATCTTTTAGTCAGGAAGCAAATCTCATCATAATTGGGGCACCACAAAGATATTTATTCCATGTTTAATGATACAAAGCTTAACTTTAATAGAAAATCGCAACATACAAAAATAGGTAGGAAACAATTAAGTGAGCAAGAGGCATAGTAGCATCTAAAATGTACAGCTGAAAAAAATGGCTTCTAAGTCCATTATAATAAATATGTCTGTTATCTCACTTAATTTAGGATCACCCTCAGGACTAAAAAGTATCCAGCTAACTAAAACTATAGCTGCATAGAGAAGTAGCTAACTTTAACTCATGAATCTCCTTTATAAATCTTTTTGCCCCATTCTATACTGCCAATTGTTCAGAAGTTTATTACAATTTGTATATCATTACAAATACTTTGCTATTATTTTCATTATACCATGCAGCAGCTCTTCTAAATACCAAATAAAGAAAGCAGTCTGTCTGCATCTTTCATCTTCATGCTTACAAGTTTCATACCCACCTCTTCAAGAACAATGTATATTTGCTGACCACGTACATTCAGACCCTCCTCTAAAAGCAATTACTATTTGATTCAGGTAAATGACAAGATATAAGGCTGATAGCTTACCGGTGCTGCCAACTGTGTTGCTGGCATCATCCCGGCCATTGGCATAAGTCCAATATCTTGGATCTTGAGAGTTTTCTGTAAATATAGAATACATATTTTTATCCATCTTTTACATCACTTGTAATACTGAAGTAGGGATTATAACCCACACTACCACACCCCATCTCTATAAGGAAAAAGAAGCTACAAACAACAGGAAGCATCTACTACAACTTTTTAATTTTTGCTCTATTAATCACCCAGTTTCCAATGTAAAAATGGTACCTTTAGCAACTCATTGAGGTCAGAGATCTCCAGGAGAGTCAGGTTAGCAATATCCTGAACTAGCTGCTGAATCTTAGGTGAATATTCTTTTGGGGCATCATCCATACGCGGACTTGCTAAAACTTCACTACACTTTGAACATGTAGTCTTCAGCATCCGGATAGCACAAGCTTGTGATCGATGATGCCTGTAGATCAGAAAACAAAAGTTACAATTCACATTTCCCAACACACAGGTACATGCAAATGAAAAGTATATGTTGAACAGATGAGGAAAGGAGGGATAACAAGGCAAGACCAACCAAGATTGGGGGGGGGGGGGGGGAATGGACAACAGTATGAATTGGTGCACAGGCTATTGAAAAGGAAAAAAAAATCTTCCCCAGCCATTTTTTAAGCAAATTTTGACAAATTCCATTTTAGAAATAATCCAGTTTCAGACATAATGGCTATTTTCAATAGCCTGAAATATTACATGGTAGAAGCTTTATAATGACAAGGTTTCATACCGCAAAAGGTGCAGTTCAAGTAGTTTAAAATAGTCAACCAAAAGATAAACTATAATATATTGAAAGGTAAAGGTTCCCCTTGCATATATGTACTAGTCGTTCCTGACTCTAGGGGGCAGAGCTCATCTCTGTTTCAAAGCCAAAGAACCAACGCTGTCCGAAGGTCATGTGGTTGATATGACTAAATGCTGAAGGTGCATGGAACGCCATTACCTTCCACCCAAAGTGGTCCCTATTTTTCTACTTGCAGTTTTTACGTGCTTTCAAACTGCTAAGTTGGCAGAAGCTGGGACAAGTTACAGGAGCTCAGTCCGTTATGCAGTGCTAGGGATTCAAACCGCCAAACTGCTGACCTTTCTGATGGACAAGCAGTGTCTTAGCCACCAAGCCACCGCGTCCCATAATATACTGTAGCATAGGTTAAAAAAAATTTTTTTTTACCAAAACTTAATCTGCTCTGCTAGCATGCTTTAAGATGACAAAGTAAGGACAGATTGTTTTTAATAATTAGGGATTCATGTGGGTAATTTTTTTTTAATGTGCCATTTTATTCATTCCTCAGGCAAAATAGGCCTGCTTTAATTCAGTACTATTTGCAACAATAGCCACAAGCACTGATTGATCTATTAGAGCTTATTTATGGATATTACCTGAACACACCGGTTCTCTACTGGCCAGAGCCCCAAGTCACGAAGTTTCTGGTTCAGATCTCACCCCAGCTTACAGGAGTCCACCCACCATCAGTTTCTGCCCCTTAGCAAGCTGGGGTAACGGAGCTGACCTTTCAGGGGTGCTTCAAGACTGATCAAGAAGTAAATTCTCCCACCTCACATCGAGAGGGCTGAAGCGTGGTTTAAAGAGAGCAAAAAAAAAAAAAAATCCCCTGCAATTTTATACGCGCGCCGCCAAGCAATGGCTCCGTTTGCAGAAGCGAGGCGGGCGTGTGACCTTTATTTGGGCGTTCGGGCCTCTTAGTTCGCTCCCACCCGCTTCCCCTTCGGTCGGGGCATCGGTCGTCCAGGCCTACGTACCGCAGTAACAGTCGGAGAGCGGTACCGAGTCCGGCCGCGGGGAACATGGCCATTACCGGCGGCTGCAAAAGGCGGCAGGAAGGAAACACCGACGGCCCCCTCTTTCTGCAGTGTGCACACCGAAAAGGGCGCCGGGGACGCTCTCTCCGAGCATCTCTGTGGTTCAACGAAACGTCCAATCGCCGCCGAGTTCGACTCTCCGTGAGGTACAACAGAGCGTTGCACAGCCTGGCATCTCGATGGTAAGCGGATGTGACGATTCAAAGCCCGTCTAGCGTACCAGGTTAGAAATGAAAACTGCGGGAACCGGAAGCCCGTTTTCCAACAGAGCCAAACTTCGTTACCCAGCTGCCCTTACGGCGCTCGGCGAACAAAGTGAAACCAAGTAATATTTGCAACTAAAGAAGATTCCGCAATTCGGAGGCTTAAGCGGAAAAAAGAACTCCAAGCTAGGCGGACGAGTGAGGAGGCTCCGCGAAGGGTTTACAGATGGAAGACTATAATTTACGATTTACTGTGTGAGCCTTCTGTGGTTATAAGTTGAGGACTATTTGCAGTGACTAATGTGATCTAATCACTAATGTGATTCAGTCAACCAATGGAACAGAAGTTGCCTTCAGAAGTTGTGGGAACTTCATCACTGGAAGCTTTCAGGAAGAGACTGGACTATCATCTGTCAGAACGCGTGTAGGTTCTCCTACTTGGGCGGGGTGGGTGGGTGGGTGGGTGTGTTGGACTAGATGACCTACAAGGCCCCTTCCAACTCTTATTAATCTGAGCCTCTTAACAGCTCGGCAAGGGAGGACTAATTTAAATTTTTTCCCGAGGCAGTGAAGTCAAGAGACACAAGATAGTGAAGTGGATGGAATTTTTATTTCTATTTGATTTGTTTAGCAGTAAACCAATTACCGTATTTTGAGAATGTGGGCACACAGTTTGCCTGTGGTTCATCTTATAGCAGGTTTTCCCCCCAAAGTCAATTTAACAGTCTTCTTAGAACAAATTTTTATTTCAGGAAACACATTGCATTTGAGTTACCATACTGTACTTATTGGCACACAATGATAAAAAAAAAGTTATGTAGAGAGGTTTTTGTTTCATACACAAAATGCTTTTTTGGTGAAGACCAAAGGGAAAAAAATCAGGATGTGAAGTCCAATCTGCTTCTCCAGACATTGTTTTATACATTTTATCATCTAATTATTACCAGGATGGTATAAAAATAAATATTAGTTTTGCCTTATGGCATATCCTGTTCTTGGATATACTTATACGTTGGGATTTGTAAGAATATTGCACTAATGGCCACTGTCCATTCATTACAGCATTAAAAAAGTTAAAAAAAACAAAAATTATTTTCCATAGCAGAAAGTTTTCTGTTTCATCTAATGATTCTTTGTTGCCACAGCATGGAGCTAACCCTGACTGAAAAAAACTAAGATTGGACCTGGTTAGTACTTGGATAGATTAAAGCTGTAGGCTAAACTGTAAAGTTGAGAAAGGCAGTGACAAGCTACTTCTGTATTACTGCCAAGAAGAATCACAGGAAATTGTCAGGAGTTGGCTGAAGGAATCTTTTTTATTGACTTCCTCATAGAATAATGGTAGCATTCAAAATACAAGTCCTGTCATAGAACTATGTACCACTGAATTAGGAAAAAAACTTTCTAGGATTTCTATAATTTCCCTCAAAAATTGATTGTGGAATTACTCTTTTTAGATCAACCTATTTTTAGACCATAAAATGCATGAAGCAGACAGGCTGACCATAACAAAAGTGTGTGCAGTTAGGTTAAGGCCTAACTGCCAAGGTCTTTATTGCCAATACTGTAGAGATCAATGCACCTTGTCAACAGAAATATATTAAAGCCTATAATGTCAATGGATAGATGCTGAACTTCCTGGAATGTTGCGGAATGGAAAACCAAACATAGGGAATTCAATTTTATGAACTCATAAAGGACTGAAGTCTGCTTAGTCTCCTTAGGAGGAGTCCCCCTCTCTGAAATGTGCCCTGAAGAGTTTCAGGTGCTCCACCAACCACGACACCAGGTAAGGGGTGGAGGAGTGGCTGCCATCATCCGAAGGTCATTGGTTCCTCGTGGAATCCCTGCTCCGGAGATTGTTGGATGTGAGTCTCTTCTGGTGAAGTTGGACCTTGGGGGTCAAACGGGTCTGTTGTTAACGTACCTACCTCCCAGCTGCGTTGCAACAGCCCTGCCTGCGCTCCTGGAATCAGTAGCCGGACTGGTGGTTGAATTCCCCAAACTTATAGTATTGGGGGATTTCAACCTACCATCTCTCGGCGAACGCTCTGATGGGGTGCAGGAGTTCATGGCTTCCATGACAACCATGGACTTGACCCAGGTAATTCTGGGCCCAACTCATAGAGCAGGACACACGCTCGACCTCGTGTTTCTCTCGGGGCAGTGGAGACGTGATCTGAAATTAGAGGGCATTGAGATCTC